GCCGTTTCACTCTCGTCAAGTAAACTTCGCGATTATGTGACAAAAATTGTGCACTCGCGTGAAGCCGCCATGTTTGTTTACATATTTGATGCCATTTAAAAGCTCGCGCCATTTTCGTACCCATTCTTCGCCCGGCCAAAAAACCCTATTGAGCCACCTTAACAAGCGACGTTCAATAGATAATTCTTGACTGCATTGCAGTGGAACGCCGCCACGCCACATTTCCCCGCTCGATTCACTAACAAGGGGGCCAGATGTTTGGAGCTTCTGATGGTGAGCTTCAGTCGCCTAATAGTATGATTAACGTTTTGACGTTACCATTTGCATTCGTAATATTTGCAAATGGTAACGTAATTTCCGATTTCCCTTTCTACCTGCCTTTACACGGAAATTCAAATTTTGTATCTGACGTGACATTTCGGGAACAAAAAGCTAGTCCAGTTTAGAAGAAGAAGGTAGTTGAGATCTCCGAGAAACAAAGGAACTTTAAGGCGGTTCTTCGAAGTGAGATGGAGGAGGTTGTAAGAAGGTTTAGGAATAATCAACGGAAGGAGAAATGTGGTGCGCTGTGTCTCAGCTTTTATAGGAGGTGTTCGCTGCAAACAAAGGGTTGAGAAATAACTCCACGAACCTCTGACAAAAACAATGCTGCAACAGAAACGTCTTTCTGTGACACTTGTGTATGTCGTTTACTTTGCATCGCGCAGGATGCTATTGTCTTTGGCGACATGTACTTGTAGTGGACTAATGCCCAGGTTATCAACGAACGGGATATCAATTTGCATGTCAAGAACTTATAAGTTGAGATTGATTGGTCAACAAATTTAGCTTTGGGTACGTTAGTCGCATTGCAGATTTCAGATGTTGTCAATCAAAACGGTTTGTTGCGTGATGTAAGTCTCATTATGCGATAGAGTTAAATGATGGCGCACTAACCAGTGTACCTAAAGAATAATAATACTGTTCAAAAGTGATTAATTGGAGATTTCAAATACTCTACATACTTTCCAATCCTGATTATGTTACTGCATGCTGCTCACTCGCTACGCTCACTGCGGAGCAGTTAAAGGCGGCCCGTATTGTTACATACATACATACATACTTTATTTGAACAGCTCCCTGTCTAGGGCTCTTCCGCCATCAATGCTAACAACTAATTACATGAATATATCATAATATGCTAAAATTAAAAATTACAGATTTAAAAAATAATTAGAGACTTAAGCCTTAAACTTTTTTACGTCAGAGGTTTTCACAAAACGTTCTGCAAATTCGTGTGCAACGATATTTTCTATATGACATGATTTCACTTTGTGACACTTTCTGGGAAAGAGTGTTTCTGACCTGAGGTCTACCTTTGTTGGGTCAATATTGTGACGTAGAATCTTGCGTGTTATCTGAAGGCCGGAACTGACAGATTTTGCAATTGGAAAGAGGCCACTGCTTTAGCGGCGACTTCAAAGAAAGTGAGCCGTCCCCTGTAATGCAGCCTATTACCCTTGTCCTGAATACTTTCAGGTTGTCCTCGATCTTCTTCCGCTGGTAAGTTACAAAGCGACTAAAATTTATTTTCACTTTACGTTCTACTTATGTTATTTTTAATCCTTGGCTTAACTGAAGAAGTGAAATTGGAGAGGTGCTGTCCAATCTGCCTTCTTCCCTCGTTGCCTTCCTTGAGTGATAGTAGCCGTTTAATGATATATTCTGAAGTCGGTGTTGCTTCAGTATCGACCTCATAGATCATCGGATCTTGCTCGTACAAGTTGTGCCTTTGCCCATTCTAAAGCCCTCCTAAAAGTTAAGACGAAGCCAGCTTTGTGAAATATGTCTACCAGTGCGTCGGTTGTCCTCTCTGCGCAGCTGATTCCATGGGGACTGACTCCTTCGAGACTGTCTGAGTGAGACCTTTCGAATAAGTCAGCTCGCAATTTTGCCTTATGTTCTTGATGGTACTGCGTTGCTTCGTCGGATAGTAACGGGATTACGAGACATGTTCGGCTGCATCACAGGCGTCTGGCTCCAAATAACCCGGAGATCTTTAACTTTAAGTGCACGCGGCCTCAATCTTTTCAAATAGACGGTAGACCTTCGCGGGCGTCCTTCGCAAAACAATTTTTAACGCGCTACTTGAAGCATTACTACCATAAACTATAAATCAATGGAAAGTTTATTGAATGCACTATGCGGAAAATATTATTTCGTCTTAGCTTGATCTAATTGTAAACTCAATGGGGCGCGATAGTACGAAATGGACTGTTTCTTTGAGCGAATTAATCGCACATCGAATCTGACCGCACAACTGAAAGGTTTGTATATTTTCAATTAGAAGGGTTGGTCTTCAAAGCCGTGTGGGGATTTTTCGATATTCCTGTTGGTTGCTTCAGTTTGCAGTTTATCAGAATTTCAGCGTTTTCCTTCATTTCCCTTCCTTGAAAGTTGCACTCGTACATAATGTTTCCAGAGACTAGTGACCTGGGGGCCTGGGGATCGCTTGAAAGCTATCCAAATTCTATGCGTTGTGCCATTTTAGTACAAATGTTCCGGAGTATTTGTATTCTCTGAAAACAAGATACTACAGGGGTATGCACTGGAACCAAGCCTTTGATCTTGTGACCATCATGTGATACGATTATATTTCCGCCTCATGTGGTTATCATATGGTAGAGAAAAATTTCCCCGTGATCCCAAAATATCTCTGCTCTTTGCCCTTGCAACGTCACCTTAAAGATGGTGCTTCAACAACATACTTTTTTCGCCAATATACCGTAGTGGAAATGCAAGGCTCTCTAAAATAAATAAAACCTTGCAGGTTTCATTATTGTGTGACTGCAACCTAACACATTTTAAAGGAGCATCATCACGGTGTCAGTTTACACACTGCGTCCTTCCATGTGTCAAATTGCTGTTGTTCCCCGCTTTTATTAACAAGAAGCAAAGCACATGGCTGTGAAAAAAGCCACAGGTGACGCGAGGTGTAGCAATCGAAATTCCCCAGCGAACCAAGCGAGTCAAGTCAAATGCGCTGGAGATTATATTGATCAGCTTCAGTATTTTTTTGGTTCGGCAATGAAAAAATTCAATCCAGAGAGGAATTCATTTGAGCAAGTACCTGTTGTGAAATTCAGACAATCACATACCTTTATAGTGCCGGTGTATAACGAATGTATGTACAACTTTCTGCTGCTATCGAGGTTTAATTTGCAACTGATAACACTCTGCCCTTCTGATAACACTAGAGATGGGGAAAGTAAACTAATGTATTTTCCTTCGTATTTGTTTACTGAAATAGCACCGCGAAAAACGCGAAAAACGCGAAAAACCCTAAATTTAAAGATTTTGTGGGGGAGCATGCAGCGAAACTTCGCCGCTCGATATTTCCTTTTCGTCTGTACACCCTAAAAATCTCACGCTCCGTCCCTGGCTTTAGAAATAATTTCAATTTCTCGAAGAAATCTGAGTAATTAAACAATGTGATAACCAGCCAAGATATAATAATGCTCCATCAGCGCTTATAAATTGCAGGGCTTTCCTTGTTGACCAAATACACTCTGAAAGTTATGTTCTACATTTCTAAGAATAAGTAAAATAGCGAATTGCGTTGTGACTGAATGCCCGGCAGCCGAGCACAGTCGCAAATAGACTAAATACCCGGCAGACAGAAATTCTCAGAGAATTTGATCCTGAAAGGTCTTTCAAACTTCTTAAGGATATCAGATAATTGTTTAGAAATGTCAAGCAATTCCAAAATTTATCTGTTTCTTTTTCGGCAGACAAATTCGTAAACCCTATAATATTGCTCGGTTGTGCACGCTTTAATTTTGACAAGACTAGATGGCCAGCAGTTAGAAAGACCCTAGAAATATTAAGGAAAATGTCATTGAAATGTTCCGAAACGTTGTATTTTGTATATGCGTTTTTGCCAGTTCTTTCTTTCAAAAAGTTCTTTCTGTAAGTGAGCCAATCAACATGGAACTAAGTTATCATGTTCCCCTACGCTCACGGTATTTTGGGTCACTTGATGAAAGGATTTCCGACAGTAGCGGTGCACCTCATACCACGATACTCCCAAAGGCCGGTTACACTGAATAAAACTACACTAAGGTAAAATGAGACAAGCCTTTGAAATCTATACTGCGTGAATAAGGTTTTCTGCACTTTTCTCGGAATTCGGTGGTTATTTCCGACTGCCGGGCATTTAGTCTATTGAGACCGTACCCGGGGTTTGCTTAAGTGTTCTTGTGGTTCGTTAGCTCGAAAAATTTGTCCACTAAAAACCAAAATAGTTTTAGAATTATGTGGAATATCTAAACAAACAACCTTTTCTCTCAATATGCGTATTCGAGGTTTTCTGTTTTGTTTCCCTGCATATTTACTTAACTTGAAGGTGTTCTGATGTAGGTGACCTTTATTGTCACGCCAGACTGGTCTCGAAGATAACATTCAACGAAGCCAATTTGACTTCCCAAGTTTTTAGTAGGGTACGTTCAAGCTCGCTTGACCACTATGAACCAACGCAATTCTTGGAATCGCTAAACAATCATCGGATATGCCCATAGATTAATTTGAATGAAGTTTTCCAGTGGCCCTTGAAATGAAAATTTTTAGAATGCCCAAACTCAGAGAATTGTGCACTGCCGGGCATTTAGTAGTCTGCTACAAAGCCGTTCTTAGGGACGTCACGCAACGCTCCTCCTCACGGCTGTGTAGCAGACTAGGCATTTAGTCCGTATTCGAGAAAGTGGCGACAACCTCGCTGTACTATCGGGTGCACAAGCTCGGAGAATTTGTTCACTGGCAAAAAAATTAATTTTTGGAATCGCTTGACATTTCTAAGTAAACATCCGATATTAGTTTGGAAACAGTCGACGAGGAAAGGTGATGTCAAGAATCACATTGCTGAACATCATCGACTTACGAACCACAATATTGACTGGCTCTGCGCAATGCCTAACCTACAACACTGACTACTTTCAACGACTGACTTTGGCAAGCTGGTTTACTAACTTAGAACAGACTCCCCTGAACAGGTGTCAACTACTACTCGCTCCCTACAAGCGACTTATTCACGACCAAAATATTACAAAATCAATGAACCGAACAGAACGACCTAACTTTACCGACAAATCGAAACAGACCGATCACGACCGATTTACGCCACTTGAGTCTTACAGCCAATAACATCACGGCAAAACTGACCAATCATTTTACACGAACTGAATGAAATCTCTCCATCTTCTAACCCTTAAGTCTAGAAGGACTCTACTTGACTTGATCTTGTTTTACAAATCTTTAAAGGGACTCTTAAATATTAACTTATCTAGTTTTATTATTTCCAGAAAAAATGCAGCATATGAACTAAGAAACGCTGATTTGTCATTTAAAGCTCAATATCCGAGAACAAACATGCTAAAATATTCCTATTTCCATAGAACAGTAAAAGCCTGGAATTGTTTACCTATGCATGTCAGAAAGTCTGAGTCTCTTTCTGATTCTTTCTGAGTCTTTGTAAGGCTTATTTATACCAGTTAGACACTAAATTAACCTAATTTGTTATAATAATAATAATAATAATAATAGTTATTATTATTATTATTATTATTATTATTATTATGACTGCGGTTATGGCGGCGGCCGTGCCTTTTGGTAGCTCCAAAAAGCCGAAAGTGAAATGGACGAACCAAATGAATAATGACGTTCTGGAGTGTAAGAGACGAGCGCAAGAGCTAGTTGCATCGGACAGTGCCCCTACGAATCGAAACGGCAGAAAGAAAGGTTACATTGAAGTCATGAAACAGCTTTGGGAAGAGAAAGGATACGGGCATCTTGCTCTTAAAGGTCAGAATTTACGTGATCAAGCGTCAAGGCTGGAGAAAGGTCAAGAAGGTTTGGCCGATGAGAATTGTGTGAACGATCACGCCAGACTGGTCTCGAAGATAACATTCAACGAAGCCAATTTGACTTCCCAAGTTTTTAGTAGGGTACGTTCAAGCTCGCTTGACCACTATGAACCAACGCAATTCTTGGAATCGCTAAACAATCATCGGATATGCCCATAGATTAATTTGAATGAAGTTTTCCAGTGGCCCTTGAAATGAAAATTTTTAGAATGCCCAAACTCAGAGAATTGTGCACTGCCGGGCATTTAGTAGTCTGCTACAAAGCCGTTCTTAGGGACGTCACGCAACGCTCCTCCTCACGGCTGTGTAGCAGACTAGGCATTTAGTCCGTATTCGAGAAAGTGGCGACAACCTCGCTGTACTATCGGGTGCACAAGCTCGGAGAATTTGTTCACTGGCAAAAAAATTAATTTTTGGAATCGCTTGACATTTCTAAGTAAACATCCGATATTAGTTTGGAAACAGTCGACGAGGAAAGGTGATGTCAAGAATCACATTGCTGAACATCATCGACTTACGAACCACAATATTGACTGGCTCTGCGCAATGCCTAACCTACAACACTGACTACTTTCAACGACTGACTTTGGCAAGCTGGTTTACTAACTTAGAACAGACTCCCCTGAACAGGTGTCAACTACTACTCGCTCCCTACAAGCGACTTATTCACGACCAAAATATTACAAAATCAATGAACCGAACAGAACGACCTAACTTTACCGACAAATCGAAACAGACCGATCACGACCGATTTACGCCACTTGAGTCTTACAGCCAATAACATCACGGCAAAACTGACCAATCATTTTACACGAACTGAAACAGGAACATTCTTCTGACAACAACTATTCACTTGACTCTAATGATGACTTCCGCACAGGTTGTCGAAACGTCAGTCACTACCACCGACAACAGTCCTTCTCAAGACTACACTCACTCAGACGATCACGCTAGACTTTCACATGTTACCCCCACTTCAAGCCATTTACTGCAAAGCGAGTCAAGTCAAATGTCGTCAGAGGCTTTATTGTACAGTCTCAGTATTTTTCGGTGCGGCAATGAAAAATCAGTCCATTTATTGATTTTTCCTTCTTTCACGGCACACGCTTTCCCTTAAATTCAATCTTTGGTTAGGTTTTCCCGTTAATGACCCATAAACGCCAAAATCACACACTGTACGCTGGGGCCGCCTTGCACTCGCAAAAACATTAGCAGAATGCGTTCATACACCTGATTCGTCAAGCTGGATTCACGAAGGCGGTTTTATGCAGCTGTTTCCTTTGGCGCTCAGTAACACCATGAAAATCATTTTTCCTCTGAAAAAGAAAATTATTTTTTATCTTATAGACGTGATGAACGTGTTGAACATTCCAGCCTACACATCGCCTACTCTATGTCTTGGTAGGACGTTTGATCAAGAAACGTCGAGCGCACGCGCAGACTTGTTTCCATCAACTGATAAGATACCAATTAAAAAGATAAATGTCAGCAACTTTTCCTTCAAGTACCAAGTGGTTAAAAGCAGCAAAGATGTTAATGACTTACTGGACATTTCTGGTGAGCTGTCCTTACAAATCAAAGCCAATCTGCTGAAAGTGGAGGGGGCAGGGCAGTATATCAAGGATAACAAAGTCCAAGAAGGAACGACGAATCTTCTGGCGGTTATGAAATGTACCACGGTAATGTATAGTCTGCTCTTGCAGCCGTTCTTTGTCTCGGGACCCATGTTTCTCCCTCCCCACAAACGGCTGCTCGTGTTGACCAGACATTCCATTCCCTTTGTTTCCTTCAACCAATGATCGTTGAGCAGTTGTTCGGGACCCGCCAATGAAGAAGCAAAAAGTTGCACGCGAGTTTACCGAGGAACATCTCAAAATTTCGTCGAATTTCTTGTTTGTAGAGCTTGTTATGTCATTATTTTTCAACTTTTAGGGGTGATACCCCGATGAAAGTAACTTGCAGTAATTTATGTGGATGTTTCCTGTGTACGTCAACAGTTTCGACTAACGGAAAGAGTTAGAATCTTTGGAGGATCGGCTGATGTAGCGAGCGTTGTAAGTGTAGCACTGGGTATAAACTTGGAAGCTTTCTACATTTATTGAATTCTACTTTATATATATGTCTCAAATGCTACAGAAAAATTGCCAAGACAATTAATTTTCTATATGCTTAATACTGTTTGATGACACGAGCTTCGTCAACAGCAATCGCACAAAGCTTAGACGCGTAAATATTGTTATGCAACATTTGTCATCACCTCTTGTTCTTTAGAATCGCTTCGAGAGTAGCGTAAACAACTTGAAACAAGCCCTTCTCAACGTCTGATAATTTTTTTTATCGATATCAAGATAACTGAGACTTACACAGGAAATCCCTAATGCTCTCAAATTTTGTATTTGGTCATCGATAAGTGTTAGCAGAGGCGATAAAACAAGGACGATGTAACCCGACTCTTTAATCAAAGAGTCTAACACTAACGGCAAACTTTGAAAGATTAAAGATTTACCGAGGCCTGTGGGAAGATTAACAAAGAAGTCCCGCTTCTCTGCAACCAGTTTTGCAATTGCAACTTTTCTGATGTTCATTTAAATCGGAAATTTTGAAAAAACCACAGACAACGTTGGAAGCTTTGCTCGTGTCCGCCATTTTGAAAAGCATTGGCGAGATAAATATATTATAAGCCTTCCAGATTTCGGAAGGCGGTACTCTGACTTGTCAATCAGCTGGAATGGAATGTTTGGTCAACAGGAGCAGCCGTTTGTGGGGAGGGAGACACAGGGATCCAGGGAAAAAGAACGGCTGCGAGAGGAGACTAGGTAGTGTATGTTTTTCCGTAAAATTATGGTGCCATCATTTAAAAATATTTGTGATAAAATGGTGTAAAAATTAAGTTTATGACTTAACTGTGTACTCCGGAGTCGAAATAATCATATTCCTTTTTGTAGAAAGAATTAAACATTTGGTATGAACCAGAGAGGAAGAAAGATCTTGAAACTGAGGATTGTGTATTTCAAGGGAGACTAATCGAAGAACAACAATAACGCTGATGACTTTTATCAGACTCAAGAATTTTACAGTTACTCGAATGTGCACCGAGGTTAACGATGTTTATCACGTCATCCCTCAGGTTGTTGAGACGATCCACGGGTCAGTGAAACCAAGAGATGATGTAGCTAGTGGTGAATTTCTGGATGCGCTTGGAACTCATTATGTGAGGAGTGTTACGTATGGAGTCGAAATGGTGACCAGCCTGTCATTTAAGTCGTCGTCAGAGTCATCAAAGTACGTCTAACAGTGATGTTTAAGCAAGTAAACAAGCTGGTGCCATATCAAAACTTGTCGTTGATCACTTTTGTCTTCTCGTGTCAAAAAATTTAAATACTACTACGCTAATCATACTTCGGAGATGAAAAGTGTAACAAATATTCCTGCCTTAAGAGTCAGCTTTGGCGCGTATTGAAAATATTTCTTAACCTGAAAGTTGTGGTTTCTTGCAAACTAGTGGGTATTTTTACATCCTGACAAGACAATCTTCTCAGAAGAGTCATTCAATTTGTGAAGTTTAAACGAAGTCAGAGGGCGCACTCTCCAATAGCAATTGCCTAGCAGTTTTTCATTTTCGGTATATTTTAATGCACTTCAAAACTGAGTTACTTTTCCACGTGTAACCTGCACTAACCAATCTACTAACCAATTAAGTAACAAAACTTTTTTCGCTCATATTAATTTCACGATTGCTCAGTATTTAAGAACGTGTCTCTGTAAGAATCAAACCTCTTCGGAAATGAAAATTTTCAATCCCCTTCAAATTTTGCATGCAGTCTGGCACTAAGGGGGGATGCAAAAATGCCCTTTTTGAGGGTTGCAGCACTCTTGTTACCACGGTAACAACGGCTGATTGTTTGAGGCCTGGGGCCTCATTTTCATACAGAGACATCATAAAAAAAGTGCAAAATATTTATTTCTCTATCTCAAGCTAAATACAACCTTACAAATTGGTACTTCTAGCATACCTAGTGACATTATTCGTCTTCACTTTGATGCAGTCAATTTTACCTGGGAGGGAATGTGGAGATACCGATAGATTATTTATCTTGGCACAGTTTCGGTCACTTTTGATGTAAGATAAAACAGGGAAAACGTTTGTCTAAATTTCTCCAAAAGTACACCAATTCTGGAGCTGAAACTACGCACTTATACACCGAATGCAAATATGGCGTCCAACTTGAGTTGCCATTGTCCGGACTCACTAGCCTCTCACAGATGTAATAATCCTTTGTGTTTCCACGCAAAGATGAGGCTAGTGAGTCCACAACAATGGCAACTCAAATTGGACGCCGATTTGCATTCGGTGTATAACGTGGAAACACAAAAGGATTATTACATGTGTGAGAGGCTAGTGAGTCCAGAACAATAGCAACTCAAATTGGACGCCGTGTTTGCATTCGGTGTATTTGGTTATAATATTCTAGTTTTTAAATATGTAAAAATCTCTGCGGACAGACTTCCACTTTTCATAGCGGCAATTCGCGAACGAAGCTCAAAAAATGAAATATTACATTCTTATAATTCCACCTTTCAAACTACTCATTATCCACATGCAAAGCGCAATTCGTAAGTGGAATGAAATTCCCCATGGTTAATATGTAATCTGAAAAGTAGAGGCCGGCCCGCAGAGATTTTTACATATTTAAAAACTAGAATATTATAACTAACTAAGTGCATAGTTTCAGTTCTAGAATCGGTGCACTTTTGGAGAAATTTAGACAAACGTTTTCCCTGTTTTACCCTACAGCAAAAGTGACCGAAACTATACCAAGATAAATAATCCATTGGTGTGTTCACATTCTCTCCCAGGTAAAATTGAATGCATCAAAGTAAAGACGAATAATGTCACTATTTATGCTAGAAGTACCAATCTGTATAGTTAAATTTAGCTTGAGATAGAGAAATAAACATTTTACACTTTTCCTGCGCGGTTTTTGTATGAAAACGAGGCCCTAGGCCTCGAACAAGCAGCCGTTTTTACCTTGGCAACAAGAGTGCCGCAACCTTACAAAGGGCATATTTGTGCATCCCCCTGAGTGCCTAACTGCATGCAAAATTTGAAGGGGATTGAAAATTTTCATTTCCCAAGATGTTTGATTCTTACGGAGACTCGTTCTTAACACCACAGTGTCCACCGTGATTAAGTTATGGATGCACGCGAGGTTGCTAAGCACGAAAGAAGCGTAAGAGTCGCGCGAGACGACAGCCGAGAGCGACTCTAGCTTCTTGAGTGCCTAGGAAATCTCCCAAGTGCATCCATAACTCAATAGTGTGCACTATGGCGTTTACCATTTGTTTTATAACTTAACATAACATTGATACATTGTAGCAAAGGATTTTCTTTTATGTAACAAATCTTACATGACCAGAAAAAAACAAGCGCGCGCGAACAACTAGTCCCTGGATTGTTCACGTCAGCAGTATACACCCATGGGCAAATGGTGGACGCTGAATTGACCAATAAGAGCGCGGGCTTTACTTTGGTCAAGTTAAAGATTTATCAAGTTACCAAGACAACCAATAATTGCACAATGTTTATTTTTGTATTTAGGGAACAAATCAAAGGGAAAGCTGAAGGAGAACTAAATATTGGGGTTGTTAACGCAGGACTCAAAGCTTCGCTCAACAAACTATCAGCAGATTGCAACGATGCTTCCGAAATCTCCATCAAATATTACGCCACAGACCTACCAGACAAACTTCCAACCACCATGGAAGGACTGGTAGAATTGATTGAGAACTTTCCTTCTAGACTGATGGGCATAAATGATGGCAAAGGGATTCCTGTGCAAGTAAGAATACAATATACCGAGGTCACTCAACACATATGGCATTTTGTGAAACTGTCTATCCGTTATCATCATTGGTTTAAGGTTTAGTTAATTAGTCCTTTTATCAAAAAAGGGATCAGATGATCTTATACGGACGTTATTTTATTCAGAATGTAGTTGTTCTTAACAATTTTGGTAACGAATGCACTCTCTAAACTCTTCTGTGAACAACGTTTGGGTCATGATAAATCTATTGCAAACCCAAAAGTTATTATAAATCAAAAATGTGGAAGTGTACCCGGGGATTCGTCACAACTTTCTTCGTTTATTTGCAGTTCGAGCTTCAACCAGTGAGTAGCATCATTTCCAACGCCAAAGTGACCATACAACAGCAGGCGTTGTCCAGTGAAATAGAGGAACTGGAAAACCGTTTTGATGATCTACGAAACACTCAAGCTCTCGCTGAGGCATACCTTGAGAATGAAGACGATGACGACGTGGACGATTTTTGCAGCGTGGTTACAGAGCTTCAACAACAGTTTAGAGAAGCAATTAGAATGATGAACAGCGTGGTAGGGTCCAAGAAGATCAAAGAATGTATGGAAGCATACAAGAGTGCTCGTGAAGGACGCGCTACAAAGGGAAAATTTGCCCGTGAATGGAAGAAAATACTCAAAAATAAGGTGACCATAGAAAGATAAAATGTATTATGATATGACCCGTCCGGCCCCGCTCACGCAATCCCATAGAAAAGCATAGTGATAGCTAACGTTTGCACGGCCGAACGGGTTAACGTGACCCGTCCAGAAAAAGCCCTAGTGCATTTGTACGGCTTTGTTGCAAAGAAAAGGAACCCTTGCTCACTGTCGATGCAAAATACTAGTGAAAGCATGAAACAAAATGAGTAAAATGAGTTTGTCATGTACCGACTTAAAAAAATGAGGAAAAGGTTTGTGTTGTAGAATCTATTTTCTGGTTTTCCCGAGAGCGCCAGTCTATCGCATCTTATAGCTATTCAAGTTAAAAAAACTTTTCGAATTTTTCAAAACTTAGTCTGTGGTCATATAAGGCCCAGTTCAGACGCCGTACTTCAGCCGTGCCGAATCGAATTCAACTTTAGGCCGACCTTAATTAGTTAATCCTGGCTGATTTGATTCAGACGCTGAACTTAATTAACTGAGGTAAATTTGTGGCCGGGGCCGGCGCAGTGTTATAAAGAACTGACGAGAGTTATTTGAATGGCATGGTCGTTGTAAGGAAGTTTTAAGTGTTTTATTTGGTCACTTCTCTAAAGAAGTACCTAAATAAAGTGCGGCAGTTGATCAGTAAGTGTTTCGGCGCGACCAAGCATACTTCCTTGAAATGTGAAATTCCCATATGCAATAAATGTTCAAATTTTGGAGAAAACAAAGATTACCATGCTGTCGCTTTTTTTGTGAGCGATACACAAAAGAGGCGGGAAAGGACGTTGCTGATGCAGAGGACAACGACATCATGGCCAAAGAACCAACAGAGCGAAGAATCAGTCAGTTCGAAAGGCGTACAATAGGGCGCCTATTCAATATCTGTCAGCATCATTTAACTCAGCCCGCCAAGCCGCCATTTCTCCTCTGCAACACTCCTTTACGCATGCTCATATGTTTAAACCACCATGAAAAGTACATTATAATAACTTCAATAATTTAAGCATTTGATTCGGCTCATGTGGAGTACGGCGTCTGAATCAAAGCCGGTCTACAGCCGTTCTTCCCGGCTGAGTCAGGCGGCATTAATTGACCGAGCCGATCTAAATTAAATTAGCCGTTCCGAATTGATTCAGACGCCGTACTTCACATGAACTTAATACGTTGAATTCGATTCGGCTCGGCTGAAGTACGGCGTCTGAACCGGGCCTAATAAAATGCTTATTGACTGAGTTTGGTAAACGTCAGTAAGGCAAGGATACTGATGGTGACGATGACAATAACACTGACGATAAAAGCAACGATGATGATGACGATAACAATGACGTCATCATCGATGATGATGATGAGATGACATCGATTACTGTGACATAAAGTTACTGATAATCATGATTCTAATTCATACCAGAAGAAAAGATGCAGTGCGAGCAATGTCTCAATTAGGTCCGGTATTTCTCCAGGCATAAATGCTTGTTAGAAAAGATCTTGAAAACTCAGCACTATATCAGATATGCTTTTGCGACTTTAGAGGAGAGTGAGAAGGCTCCACGCTCTGTGATATAGAATTAACAACCGGTAAGATTTGGAAACAGTCCCAACACTTTCTTGAAAGCGGCTTCATCTCAGTTTTGGCATCCTTTCGTCCACCAGTTAAAACTTTGATATTCTATTTAAAAATTCTAGTTAATAATAATATAATAACAATTTAATGTTTATATTGCGCAGATTAACATGTGGATATGATCAAATGTGCATCAAAACACTTTTCGGGGAACTTCGCCCGGACTGCATAAGCAGTTTACAAATAATCGAAGGAAACATATTTGAAGATGTCCCCTCCCCCCCCCTCTCAATTCCAAGTAAACAGGTCAGACCACATCACAGTAATCTCGAGAGTGGGTTCTTTAACGTCTCCTGCCTAACCAAATTAATTAATAATAGATGCAGGAGACGGGACCTACGGTTTATTCGTCCGTATCCGAGAAGACTAGAATGTATATCCATTTCTTGATATTGTAGAAAGTTAGCGCATTCTCCTAAGTTATTTTAAGACCTTGAGAGTTGGTCCGGCCGGGGCTCGAACCATCGACATCGACCTCGACCTCCCGCACAACAGTCCAACGCTCTAACCAATTGAGCTAACCGGGAGACATGCAGTGGGGTATGGCTCGTCAAAATTGGCCGATTGTGGGTTGTGTAATTTTGGGATGTTTAGCCTGTAAAATCAGAGAATTAGTGTGACTGAGCGAGGCTGCTACTAATCTTTATTTACTGTGCCTTCTTTCACAGAAATCTGTTGCCACCATCAAGGTAAGACTACTCATCAAAGTAAGAAACCCTAAAATAATGATTCCACGAATTTTGATTGAAGGGGTGGTTTATAAAGGGCGGATCATGAAATCTATGATCAGGGGCGGAAGAGGGTAATGAGAGTGTCAAATTTCGTTTAAGGCTCTTTGTAAATGTTTCCTTTCAAGTCAAAATTCGCACTCGATTCTCGAGTTGATCCACGGGCACAGTGCGATAAAAACCAAACCAATATAGGATATTTTCTTTCTTTATTTCTTTCCTATCCTTTGAGGTGTTCTTATATCGAAGCGGTCAACTGAAATTATTACGTGAAGAAATTACCCAAGTATTATGCGATCATAGCTTGAAGAATAATATCAATTTGGTCAACGTGCACGTGGCAATTACAGTCAAACTAAGTGAAGCGTACCCCTCAGGATTACATTAATGATTTGATTATTTTAATATTAAACCCGCGAATCGTTTTAGGAGCGAAATAACGAATTGAATATTTGAACATGGAACCCGCTAACCGTTTCAAGAATGCAATAATGGATTGATTATTCGAATATTGAACCTGATAGCCGTATTAGTTTTGAAAGGGCGCGGATCATTGTTCAAATCAGAAGTCCATTTCTGATTGGATTATGCGAACAGGTGATGATGTGTCTGAACCATTTCAAAATGGCGTCAGACATGGCGGGAAAGGTGAGCTCGAGTGTTGTAGAACTTCTTGTAAATGTTGTAAATGGAATGTTATCGAGAGCTTTTTTCGCCTATTTACATCTTAACGAACTTGCAGAAATTCTTGTGTATTCATGGTGGAAAAAATAGATTACGGGCGAAGCCATCGCAAGACTTTTTTTATTTCGTTAATATTTGCGATCGACTGTTTTCGCAGTGTTTTTACAGTGCAGTTTGTTCATTTTCAGGATTCCTCGGCAAATAGAACAATCTTATTGGACTTCAGAAATGGAATTCTAATTTGAACAATGATCCGCGCCTTTCAAAACGGATACGGCTATCGGGTTCAATATTCAAATAATCAATCCATTATTTCATTCGTGAAACGGCTAGCGGGTTCAATAATCAAAAAATCAATTCATAATTGCATTCTTGAAACGACTGGTGGGTTCAATATCCAAATGATCAATTCATTAATGTAATCTTGAGGGGTACGCTTCCCTTAGTTTGACTGTAAAAGAACCAAGAAAAGTAAAAAACTAGCGATAGGTTTCGCTTTGAGTCACAACTACGAGCTAACATAATCACAAAATAAATTGTTGCTTACCAACGTTCGCAGGTCTTGACTATTACTATCTAGGACTATCGAGGATTGCAGTCTAAGTTGTCTTCTATTTAGAAACGATCTTGATTACACGGGGTCCTATCCTAAACTGAAACGCTAACTGTAATTTTCTGTCCTGAGGAACTAATCACGGACGCGTTTAGGAAGCCATAAAATATTTCACAGCTTCTTTCGGAAGCGGTAACATTTATCTTTAACGGAAGCGGTTACACCTTTCTTACCGCCATTTGACGTCTACTTCTATGATGCAGTTTGAAAATATTTTCCCTCAGCATGGTCAGATAAAAAAAGAGTTGATGAGAGTGCAACTCTAACCTTATATAAACCCCCGGTTATGCGCCCAGATATCTATCCCTCTCAACATATTTAGTGAAATAGATGGCATTTCTAATCAGTAGTAGATATGGCGCTCCCTGTCTCCGAAGGTGTCAGTTTGCTTTTCTCTCGACACATATACTTTAATTTTCGCCAGACCATAGTGAGACATATTAGACATCTCTCCCAGGTCTGGTGTCTGTCCGAGAGATTGGCCTAGATCATTTCTATCTTTTTCATGATCTTTTTTTGTCATTGATTGTTTTTAAAAGCTGCCTTCAGGAGATCCTCTAACAGTTGTTGTGTTTGGGAAGACTGGGAACGGGAAAAGCGCCACTGGAAACTCGATCATTGGGAATGCATATTTCGAAGACAGTCCAAGTGGTAGGTCTGTGACGCAATTTTGCAGATTAGGCAAGAGGAGTGACGAAAGAGATATAACCGTGATAGACACCCCTGGGATCATGGATACGGCCCCAGTCACAGCTATGGGAAAGGCCAGAGAATTCGCTAAGAACGTGGTTGGTATCAACAATAAGAAACAACAGGAAATTCTTCGAGAACTCTGCAAAGTTTTTGCCATGTCCCCCGACGGTCTTGATGCTCTCCTCATTACCATTAAGTACGGTGGCAGATTCGGTCTCGAGGATGCCGAAGCTTTAAAAATACTCCAACAGTTTTTTGGGTCAGAAGCCCAACCTTACATCATTTTGATTCTTACACATGGCGATCAGGCTGTTCGTGACGCAAAGAAAAAGAAGAGAAGCATCGAGGACCATTTAAAATGGTATATCACTACTTTGCCACGCTGGGTCCAGCAATTTATCAAGGAAATAGGAGAAAGGAGACTGCTGTTCGACAACAGTGTGGATCCCGACGAAAAGCCTGATGATTGTAAAAAGCAAGTCTCTAACTTACTTCAGGTAAAAGCCAATTTTGAGAAAATTATCTGAGCGTCGTGCCGTTATAGGTCAGTGGCATCATGTCGTGATGGGTCACTGGCTGCGCACTACAATATATTCGTTGCTTAGGAATGCTGCTAAGTTCTCTTATAAACAGGAAAAAGATGGCAGAGAATTCACCTGTCTCTAGCTAGAGTTTTGAATCAAGTGGGAGACATCGAATCTCAGCTCCGGATCACCCGTTGGTTCTTCTGGTAAAGTAGTGGAGAAAAACTCTGTTTTAAGCTGAGTCAGATCAAGAAAGCACACTTTTGTTCAATGAGAGCTGCTGAAATAGGAAAAACAAAGATATTTTCATGAATAAGTAGTACATTTTTAGAGTAGAGCTTTAAATGACGTTTTCTTCACCTCGGATTCCTGAGGTTCAGCCTGAGGTCCTATTTGTATGGATTACTATAGCAACTGTCCCTAAGTGGAGAACTTTACTTTTTTTCTCTTTTTTCTTGTTATCGTAATAATGGACATTTTTACTGATGAAAGATCGATGCCAAGATAGATTCTTGTCTATCGGGCTTATCGGCAGACTTTCAAATGTTGCAAATAAAATAGGAGTATAGCAGTATATCGTCAGAGGATTTGGAATTGCTCAAAATTCCATGAAAGAAGGTACAACATTCGGAATCTGGATGATATGAAGGCGATTTGAGGTATATGTTTGAAGTTGCGTCGAGTGGTCGTTATTGAAAGCGGATCGACTCTTTTTTCAAAAGATGACAGCCAGATGCAATAATTTTCTTCGCGATATTCCTCATTGGATAACGTTCTTTCAAAGCCATGCACTTTCCGTTTCTTGGAAACCTTTGTTACGTTGTAGAGACATTAGATGTGAACATCACCAGAATATGCAATATCTGAATTTTGTGTTTCGTTCGCAAATTGCCCCTACGAAAAGTAGGGGTCAGTCCGCAGAAATTTTGATATATCTAAAAACTAAAATATCATAGCCAGCTAGGTGGGTTAGTTTCATTCACAGAATTGGTACCCTTTTCGAGAAATTCCAAATAAACCATTTCCCTATTTTACCCAACATAAAAAATGGCCTGTATTGTGATAAATAATCGATTGGTGTCTTTACATTACTCTCAGGGAATACTGAATGTATCAATATGTAAAGTAGAAGTATCAATTTGTAACATTTTGTACGGAAATGAGGCTCCAGGCTGCGAACAAGCAGCCGTTGTTACAATGGAAAAAAAGTACTGCATCCTCCCTGAGTGTCTGACTCCATGAAAAATTTGATGGGCGTTGAAAGTTTTCATTTGCCACGATTTTTGATTTTTACAGAGACTAGTTCTTAATTATAAAATTAAATGCATAATTTTCTCTTGCTTTGTGCTTTTTTACTCCCATTAAATTTACCTTAGTGACTTACGCTGTCGCACCTAAGAAATGACTGCCAAATTTTCTGCGCTTGGTAGGTTGCCATATTTTCCAAAGGAATTCTGCAAAAGTGTATTTCAAATCCCCGAACTCCGCTATTAAGATTTCAAATACATGTTAGTGCAAGTAATCTAAGGAAATTGAACCAAAAATATTGTTGACAGGTATTTAATTTCGTTTGGTAATAATAGATCTGGAGGTCGTTTCGACATGGCGCACGCAAATTTGTTCCAACTACAGTTTCTTAGAATCAAATGTATGAAGCGCGTTCCCAGAGTTCTGTGTTTTCATTTGTTTTATCATTCGTTGTAGTAGATAGCTCCAATTCAAGGTTTTCAGAGTTCTCATGCACAACTTACAAAACTATTATCAACTCGTTTACCTCCAACTAACTTTGTAATGACTTCGATTATTGCTCTTAAGTGTAACGTTTTTCGTAGGTCATTGATGAGGTAAGGAAGAAGCAAAAAGGGCCTTTGATGCATCGCCTGAACACTGCGTCCAAAGAAGTACTTGACGAAAAAATAAAAAAAGCCATGGACGAGTGTGGATTGACTAAGCAGGAAGAGACCATTCGTCAACAACGGGCGGAAATGGAAAGGCAGCTTAAAGAAAAACAAAAAAGTGACGTTGAGAAGCGTAAGTTGGAAAAACGCCTTGCTGAACAGAAAAAGAGACAGGCTGAGTTGGAAGACGAAAAGAAACGGTTGGAAGAAGAGAAAAGAGAGCAACAACGTAATGAAGCTGAAAGCGAGTCAGGAGGGACTGCAACAGAAGTGATCGAGGAAAACACTGGTGGTGGATGTTACCCAGGCTCAGCGATTATCTATGATTCAAATTCCCGAGCGAGACGAATGGAATCTTTGCAAGCTGGAGACAAAGTCCTGGTCATTACAAGTAATGGCATCCAATCGGATACAGTTATCACCTTCATCCACCGTCAGCCAGAAATTATGGAAGAATTTTTAAAAATTGTCACCACAAAAGAGAAAGTCCTCCTGATAACTGCTGACCATCTCTTGTTTGTTGAAGTATCGGGCCAAGCAACAGCCATCCCTGCCAGAGATGTTAAGATCGGAGACACAGTGTACGTGAGGGAGAGCCATGGTTCAGAGAAGGATTCAGTTCGGAACATCAGCACTGTCTACGAGAAAGGTGCCTACGCCCCAGTAACCCTGAGCGGAACTATTCTGGTCAACGATGTGCACACCTCCTGTTACTTTGATGTGCTGTCCCATGAGTGGTCCCACCGAGCCATGGTCATAGCTCGTGCCCTGCATTATGTGTCTCCATCGATGGTGCAAAGGATCAGTTCTGTTGGAGAAAAAGATGGATTCCCAGGTTGGTCCAGACTGGCTCATACGATGTTGACATTGCCCGATTGATATGAACTGGAAATTTAACTCTTGACATTTCTAAAGACGTTTTTTAGTTTTATACTCTTTGTATGTGTGGTATGGAAAACGAACAAGTGTTCGCAATTGTATTAGTTTGAATTAGGGGTAAAACAAACATCGTTTTCCTTTTTTTGAATTTTCACTTTAAATAGATTAGCAGCATTGGGTGATACATGAATATTAATCAATAACCAAATTGAACTTTACCTTAGTGTTTAACCCTTATACTCTCTTGGGTGACCAAAACAGAATTTCTCCATACAATATCAATACAATATCAAGCAGACAAGTGATGAGAATAAGGAAAAAAAGAAAATCAGGGGATTATCAATTGATCCAATACTAAATTCTCCAAACTAACATTATAAGAACTGTAAGGCAGACAGTAAGGAGAATTGCTGATGAGATATTGGCAGTGAAAGGGTTAAAGCTTGAAAGCAGCAAATTTTTAGTGTCTCACATGCGAATGAAGTTCTGTTAGCATACGGGTTTAAAAGAAGCGTTACCAGAATTTTGTGAGTGTTGTTTTGTATGTGTGAGACTTTAAACTTGTTCGTTAGTTGACCAACAATCATGAAGTGATCAAGACACCCGTAAACAAGCTTTATGAGAAGGAAAGTGAAAGTAGAGGTATAAATGCATCGAATTCTTCCTCAAGCAATCGAAACAAATGCTTACTGAACCCAAAGGGGAGTAAAGCTGATCGCGGTAAAACTGATCCTAACCAAAAAAATACAAATAAACGAACTAACAGGGAGTCATATGGTGTTTTAATAGACAATTTTCTTAAAACCGTAAACTTAGGCTTTGAGTTTGTATAACGCTACGAACATAGGTAATTAGGACTTCCAACCGAGGAAGAGATTAGAGACTCAGAGCGCTAGCCGGTTCCCTAAGGTCCCTTGATGGAATACGAAGTATCAAATCAATGGATTATACCAACGTTTTTCAGCTAAGGACCAAAGATTGCTTCACTTGAAAGCAGGTGTTCTAAAGAAGAATTTTCGTGATAAATTCAAAATTTTTTTACTGTTTTATTCTATCAGTCACTACGCCTCATTAATCAATTCCAGGTTGTCTTAGATATTGTTAGAGTAAACAATAAAGTGTGTTGTAAGTAATTTTTCGTATTGTGTTCTATTTTTGTATTGACCGGAGCGGTGCCGATTTTTTTTTTAATGCAACTCCACGAAAAATACTTCAATCAATAGTCAGAGCGCTGCTCTGCTTATTTATGACCTGTAATTCTTACCATGACCATCTTTGCCCGCTCCTTTCATTTCCCAAACTTTACCCGTGATATGTTGGACAGAAATCAGATGTTCGTATTTCATTGCTAAATTTTATCTCTCCCACTCCTTCGTTACCTACAGCATTTGCAGTTATTGGGAATCCATCAGCAATAAAAAGCCAGACAGCTAACATCTTAAACCACAGGCTTACCATCTTAGATATCCGTGGTTTCGGGTTTCTATGGTAACGGGTCCTGTGGCATTTAAATGGCCGTTATAAATGTAGTTCAAATATATTGCCTCTAGAATCTTTCGCAATAGTCAGTCTTCAAAAAAATTAGCTTAGAATAAAGCTTAATAGTTCATTACTTGTTTGGAAGTCTTTTTTTTCTGCCAGAAAGCCTCAAAATCGCTCGTTTGGGGCTTTCAAAGTTCGGCGGTTAATACGGCTCGCTCTCCATAGTTTAAAAACGCGACAAGGCAGGCAGCTTCGGGTATCTGTAAAACGCAGACCGGATAGATGCGGATGGCGGATGCGGATAGAAAAATGCGGATGAAAAATTGCGGATGGAAAAATGCGGTTGGAAAAAAAAAAACATTAAACATGTCATTACAGTCGAATCCCGCTGAGACGAACTCGGTTAAATTCAAGTCCCGCTATTTCGAACAAAAATCGATTTCCCTCGGATTTACCCTTCCTTTTACGCTTCTCCGGTGTTATTTCGAAAGCCCGCTATCTCGAACTTTTTTCTATCTCCCTTGGGGCTTCGAAATATTGAGGCCGGTTCGATTATAAAGAGTGTCTGTAAATTGTGGACCGGAAGGGTTGTAAACTTTTCCCACTTTTCTCACTTTTTCCTTCCAGATCATTCCATTAAAGACATGGAACTCATCTCATTAGAACTCACTAATTCAGACAGAGATAAACCCTATGGAATGAACCGAGAGAATTAAATTTAATCTCATAACGTGTATTTTTACAATACCTCTTTCTACTTGTTTTTTTTTGTTTTTTTCTATTGTATTCCACCACCTATCATATTTATTTTGTAGTTTTGCATTATTTTTCTACTGTTACCGTCTTTTTCATTCTCATTTAGTTTTAGTTGGAAGACTAGTTTTGTCTTGTCGAAATATTGGGCTAATATAATATATTATCAAAAATCCATAGCTGTCCGATCAACCTTGCTTTCAATTTCAAATATTACTTTATATCGCCGATCCTTATCTACAAAAGGATCCGGCTTTCCCTCGCTGCTGTTTGTCGGAGTGGTCCTTCCAAGAATTCTTCGGATTGTAAACGACGGATGGAAAAAAAAAATGTGGGTAAACCAAAACAGTAAAAATAAAACGAGAAAATGCTGATAGGATAAAACAAACAAACAATAAAAAAAAACACACACACACACACGCACACACGCACACAAAAGGGAAGAGATCTTTCAGGTCGATATCGTATGTTTGGGCCTTTCATGTACATAAAGCGTTGTCAATAGTTTGCAAGGGTTACTCAAGGTTTTTTTTCTGTCACAGAAACACTCACGCTTGAACTGTTTCTCCTCCGTTGAACCGCTGTCAAATAATGTACATGTATTCGCCTCTCTCAGTCCAAGCAGGCCGAGAGGTTAAAAACTTATTTCAACTAATTATTGATTGATTGATTGATTGATTGAGAGGTACAAAACTAATTAAATATAAAACTTTTTCATTTTAAATGTCTCAGGGAATCATTCGTTGAGGTAGTGATTAAAAAGGAATTTACCTTTCGCTCCGGTTATTCAAGACTAAATAGAGGAGGAAATTTCGCACGAAAAAAGTCTTCAAAGTTAGAATGACGGGGGACGATAGTTCCACTGACTAACATCAAGAATTCTTATCTTATTTAATTGCAAACTTAACCAAAGTTCCTTACATGCCGTTCAAGCTTCAGTCTTATCTCTCTATAGTCTGAGTTATCCCTGGACATTTAGGCGAGCGTCAATAACTAAGGGGTGTGGAACCAATCAGTAAGAAGTGTAATTTTTCGATAATACGCTTAAAAAAACTGGATACAAGCAAAAATATGGCGGGAAAAATATCCGCGCTGTGCCAAAAAAATTAAGGAAACAAGATATGTTCGAAAAAAAATGTGCAAGGGTAAACTTTACAAGCGGTAACTACTACCTAGTAAACAACAGAAAGAAAATTAAAAATAACTTTCTTACACCTCCTTTAGTTTGTTAATCTCAGTATTATACAACAGGGGCAAACACTAACCGAGTCGAACGTCTAAACTAGAACCGTACCATGGAAATCGTACCGTATTAATATCAAAACCAAGACCCTGATACACAGGAAAGACCAATAATACTTGCGGTAACTTTATGCCAAGTTTGTGCTTAAAAAAAGGGTTAAGACTTGTTACTTAGCTTTTACACCCACTATAGTTCTTTTTCCAACCGATTTTTTTGTCTATCCGCATTTTTCCATCCGCAGTTTTTCATCCGCACTTTTCTATCCGCATCCGCCATCCACATCCTCCATCCGCATCCGCCATCCGCATCCGCCATCTGCATCCGCCATCCGCATCTACTCGGTCCGCGTTTTACAGACACCCGGCAACTTCGGCATCCAGATCGCACACCACCTCTTACTCGAGACTAAAATGTTTTACGTTCTAGGTCTTATTTTCCCACCGAAATTCAACAAGCCACAGAAGGATTATCCAGCTGTTACGGTGAGAGGAACAGCACTGACCTCCGATTGACCGCGGGCTCCCCTGCAGTCAACTGAGGGAGAGGGGAGGGGTGATGGGGATTGTATCTGACTTGTTCCGACCCTAAAAAAACTCAGACGTCTGTTGTTACTTTGAGAGATTCCGTCAGCGATTGGATATAATTTTGTACTGCCAGGCATCGTTTCAGTTTATTATATCCTATTTAAATTAACCACTCTTTGATAGTATCAGCAGGTTTTTGTTTCTGTGAGCGCTAACTAGAATTCATTACACTGCATTAGTCGTAACTATAAAGTAAATGCACACAGTCGAATCCTCTCCTTCATTTTGTCATCCGTTTGATAGGCCAGGAAGACATGCAGCGTTTTACAGGTTGAAAACTTCAGAACTTCAGGCTTGTTGTACAGTATGCTCACGTGTGATCAGCAGGGTACCCACAACAGGTCCATCTGTCTTGTATTTCCACACCAACTGTCGGTCATCAACTCTCAGAGCATACAAATAAGTGTCTATTCCTCCTATGAACAACACAGTCCGTTCTTATCCAGCCGATGTGGCGACCAACTAGCAGAATCCGTCTTAAAACTCCACACGAGTGAGCCATCAGTTTTGATGGAGAGCTAAAATGTCACCTTCACCTGAACCAATGTTTTTTTATGTTTAAGGCGGACGGCCGGGCTCCCAAAAGGGAGCCCGCCGGCCTGAAAACCTAATCAAACCCATGGCTGGGGTGCAATGCCATAGGGTTGGGACCGCCAGAAACGGAGGGAAACCAGTCGCCAACTTTGCTGAGGAATTGAGCCCCACCTCCCAAAAAATGGGCACACTCACTGAAATGTAAAACTCACTCACTCACAAAGGACAAGGACTCAAACCACCGCACGGTACAGAGCCCATAGCAGTACACCACCAAAGAGGACCCGGCACAAGTTACAAGACGGAAACCTACAAAAAGCCACTGTGCAGTACACCAAGGAAGGAGACCCAGCACAAGTGGCACGAAAACGTACTCAGTCAAGCAGGGATGAGACTTACTCACTCAAGCAAGCAAAAACGCAGCTAGAAGAAGGGATGGGACACACTCAATCAAGCAAAAAAAAAACCGGCTAGAACGAAAAAACCAGCGTACCGTCGACGACAAAAGCCACGGTGCCCCGCTGACGATGGAAGAAGCGACGACGTCTGCCCGACGTGAAGCGTTTGAAGAAGATGCTGAGATGAAATTTCAAGGGGGTCTTCACGCGAGCAATGACATCAACAGCGCCAGCCTGGAGTTGCGGAAACGAAAATCGTGGCGAGATTGCCAGACGAAGAACTTACAAAGTTTGAGAAGATACACAAAGACACGACGGGTGAAGTTCATC